GATACTGTGGAACCAAAGCTCAGAACAATGCATGCTCATAACAATGCATGCTCAGAACAATGCATGACGAGCAAGCGCTTGCAAGCGCTTGAGAAAGCCCTAGGCCTCGTTTGAGCAGTCAGAATATGCGGCTCCCGAATTTGGCCCTGGTCCACAAATCCCCTGGTTGCTGTCAGAGAATTGGCGTTCGTGGGAAAGTTGGTAAGCCTCCTTCGGCGAACCATAGAGTACTAAATATTTTGACAAAGCCTCGTTTATGGGAATGACAAGGGGAACGGGAAATGTAGGAACCTCTGGTAAGGAAAACTAAGAAGCCGACCACTAACTAGTGAGACCCACCCGGGGGGGAATCGGTTCCGCTGGGCTTGTGCTGCCTTGGATCCCCGGGTGCCGCCCATGTCGACTCAATGCAAGTGTCCAGCGCTTCGCGAGCCATCGCGGCCCGTTTGGAAAGGCCAGTGAGCACGGGAATGTTCCTTAAATTGCTAGATGTCCGTTTAGGCGTTCACCTTGGCAAATTGCACATTCACAACCAGGGTGCAAAAGTAAACCAACGGCAAACAAGCATGGCAACTCACGAGTTCCGTATTCATAGGTGGAACCAAGAAGTGCAGGTGTCTTCCAGAATGTGCCGTGCAACAATGCGCTTGGGACTAGATTGTCACTTTCAAGACACTCAGGATCCCAAAAGAACCATAGCTTTGAACAACCCCACTGCTGTCCTTCGCTTCTGAAGAACATGTCTGTTGCTTGTGGGCCAGCACAAGTGCACAAAGAAACCCCAAGACCTATCAGCCCGTACGTTTACCAACAAATTTGTTTTGTTGCCGCCTCAAACAACAGACCCCCGAAACACACAAAGCAGATCTTTCTGTATGGCCGCGGTTGACTTCCACCGCGAGGCAAGCGGTTGGGAGGGATTGGCCTGGTGTTCAATCACCACCGCAATTTGGAGGCTTTGGAAACTTTTCACAAATTGGCCCCACCCTCGTGTTTTCCAAGAAAAGTCAAAGATGCTTGGTCCAAGCAAAGACCATCCCATCCCAGAAATCTGATGGCACGTGTCATGACCCGCGAGCCCACCTGGCAATTGAAGCCGTTGGTGCACTTCCCGACATGGTTCTGGCTAGGGCCTCAGTGCGCTTGCTGGCGCGGCCAGAAACCTGGAAGAAGAAAAAAAAACGGCACGGCACAAACCGAATCACTGAAGACTATGAAGAAAGGAACCCCATCTGCAGAACCTTCAGTTTGAGCAAGCACCCGTCGGTCCAAACCCACAGCACGACACACGCCAGCACCCCTGCGGAGCGAGAGGGTCGACTCTCAGCCTAGCTGTGTTCCACGCGCCCAGGGCCCTGACCAACTTGGTTAAAGATAAGCCGCAGCCGGTCGTTGCCAGTGTCCGCCACATAGATATCCTGCCACGCCAAACAGCTCAGATTGCTCAGACTGGGCAAGATGCCAAGTCCCATTTACTGGGTTGCAGACCTTGGCAGTCGCACACACCCGAAATTGTGTGCGAAAAGGACAATTGTCGGTTGCTGCACTTGGCATGATGTCAACTCCGGTTCTTTCGAGCCGCCCGTCGCTTGCCCCACGCCCGCCTTGGTCATTGGATGCACTCCCAAGCCGTTGGGCCTCTCAGAAACACGCTTGCCGCAGCCCCCCCTTCAACTCACGATTCAGCTGGAGCAGCCGTTTTTTGCCACCATGTTTGCTTTACCCTCAGAACACGGAGGAGGTTCTTGACAAACATCTGGACATAACAATAATGCACCAATTGGCATTTAGAAATCCCAAAAGCGACCTTCATTCAGAGAAAATTCTACTTTGAACTCGCTCTGAATTTGAGCAGATGCCTCACCAACCCCAGCGGGCGCATCCAGCGGCTTGCCATCAACAGCTCCCTCCCAGGCCGGGTTCCCGGCCGGTTCAGCTCGGTGACCCAGGCAGTGCCTGGAACAACAAGGCGAGTGGGGGGATATGGCACCCGAAGCTACGAGGGTGCCCTTCTTGGGGTCCAATATCCCGAGGTGAGAGAGGGTCAAAACCACGTGTCGGTTGGTACTAGAGCTGCAGCCTGCTGCAAGAAGAACGAGATGATCACAATACACGTGCCGCTGCATACTCTCTGCAGATTGCGACTTCGGCATGCCGAGCCAAACAAGACATTGGGCGAGTCTCAAAAGTATGGGAACCTACATTGCTTGTTTTGCTTTTGGTATCCGGTGGCTCTGCCAAAAGAGACCAATCCATCAATATATGCCCATCTGCAAGCACATCCCCCCTGTCTGCCATTCATCCGTAAGCGATGCCAATGCGACCAAACATGATCCTGGCCCACGGGATGTGGAAGGCTGCTCCGACCTCATCACCTGACCCTCTGGCAGCTTCATTTGGCGGGACGCATTGTGTTGGCCTAGCGTGTTTGACGACGGCAGGCAACCGCATCACCCAAGCCACCTTTATAGGAATCCCGGAAAACAGGCAAGGGCCATCAAACAAAGGGGTGTCCAAAAAGGGCGCCCATGTCACGGGAATCCAGGCTCAGCTTTACAAAGGCAACCTACCCAAAAAAGTTGCCAAACTTGAATAGAAAACGTTGCAGGACGGGAATCCATGAAGATAAAATGATGAAAGTAGCCAAAGCAGAAGCTCAGCGGTTTATGTACAAAATCTCCTGAAATGGCCGCACGTGGATAGGGTCTGTTGATAGGATCTTTCAGCTCTGCGCGCCGGATCTCCGCGAAAATCCTCTACAAGGTCTCTTCAGGATCTGTAGGGAGCATTCTCGACATGAGTTTTTGCAGGTCCTGCGCAAGATCTCTGAATAGGATCTCTGCGCAAGAGCGTCTGGTAAGATCTCCAGGCAATATTTGCTCACAGGATCGTTCTCTACATGCCAGATTCTCTGTCCAGGATCTGCAGAGGCACCCAAAGAAATCGGTCCTGCGCAAGGCCTCGGAAGGCGCAAGATGCTTCGCAGGATTCTTCAGAGGACCCTCTACAACTAGGAAGCATCCTCTGCAAGGCGCCTGAAAGGAAATCTTTGCAGGTCTTGCGCAAGACGTCTAAGATATTGTTGGACTTTCCCAGGGTCTGTGCGCAAGACTTCTTGAAGGATCTTCTGGCAAAATCTGCGAGCAGGATCTCTAGACAGCATTTCTTGGCAGAATCTCTTGGCAAATTTGCAAGCAGACTCGTTGAGAGAATCTGCACGAGACCTCTTGGAATCCATCTTTGGGAGGGCCTTTACAGGATCTCTACGCGAGATCTCTTGTTAGGATCTCTTGGCAAGATCTACACGCGAGATCTCTCGACGGGATCTCTCGATAAGATCTCTTGGCAAGATCTGCGCGCAGGGTTCAGGAGAAGATCCTCCAAAATACGGATCTGTGTAGAGAGCACACTCTACAGGATCTCTTGCAAGAGAATCTTCGCAGGCCCTGCACTTCGATGCTTGGAATACTTGCGCCAAAAGTTCGCTTGTGAGATGTTCATGTGCATTTTGCTGCTCTCGCCGTGGTGCCGTGCGAATTCCGGAAATGGTGGATTGGTGCAGACTTTGTGGACTTCTCTGTCTGGCGCAAGCCTGCGCAGTCGCCCACAGCGAGCACCCTGATCGATCTTGGCCTTTTGCACTTTGCCGTAAGCGCCCCAAAGTGTAGACAGACTGTTAGGGGGAAGAAGCTTCCACAAATCGGGAAGAGACATTCCCAACGAAGACAGCTCCAAGCAGCCCGCAACCAAGCCTGAGCCAAACCAACACGCCCCATTTATCAACCTTCCCTCCCACTCAATGCCGCTTCTTAGGGAAGGAACCGCCCCATCCCCTGGCTCCAGTTTTCCCATCTCCCGGCCTTGGTCGCCGCGGAAACCAGGGCGCCCCTCACGGCCCGCAAGGATGTACACCTAATGGCCGGGCCGACAAGGCTGCAATGCTGGGCTTTGAGGGAAGAGTTCAGCGCCCAGAAAAAACAAACCGAGCCCGGGAACAAAATCCTTGACCTCGCAGACATGGACGGGGCCATTCTAGATGCAGAGTTCGGTGCTCCTCAAATCCTGAAACCTGAGGCCAACACAAGGCCCTGCTGCTGCGTCATCATGCCAGACCTAGCGAACCTGGCAGCACGAGGCAGGCCCTAACTGTGGATCTCTGTAAACTGCTGGCAAGATACTATCGATTCGATTTTCTCGGATATACTCATGACTACTTTTGAAGGACTCTTCATAGGGAAATGAGACCCCTCCACGTTCTGGTGGCATGAGAAAGGGCCAATAGCCGCCATACGCAATTGGGCCCCATGCCGTGCCCGAACAGCCTGGGCCGTTACAAAAAATACAGCTTGGCAAGGCGTGTTTACAGCTGGAAAAAGCCAACTCGTAACAAGACATGGATGCCCCTGTCCTGAACCTCCAGTGTGACCAGCTTGCTTTCAACTAACGCATGCCTGGACCATCCAACAGGAAACACATCCCTCCGCTGCCCCGCTGCGCTGCAAAAGGCTCCCCCCACGCGCTCCGCGCGCTCCCGGGTGCCGCCTGTACACCGAGTTGTCCCTGGCCCCGCCCTTGCCCTCCGAGCAGGAGGTCGAGGAGCCCTCGAACCTGTCGTGATTTGGCTGTGGGTCAAAAAAATGTACCCAAAACGGAACCCTGGTAAATGGAAACATGGACCAAAACCTGCGGTCCCCTGGTGATTTAATTTTGACCCATGCCCATTTGATGCTCCGAACAATGGAAGAGCCGTCATGGGTTGGACAGGGGAGCGTTGCCTACTCGCGTTCACAAGGGCAACGTTCATGAAAGCAACTCCAGCTTGGCTTTCAGAGAGGTGTAGGACGAAATGTTGGGGAGGAAGCCTCCACTTTCCTGCCAAACTGGAAACGGGCCTAGCTTGAGCAACATTCCACATACTCAATCTGCAGGGTTCTAACGATTCAAGCAAACCACTTCGGGTTCAAATGCGGGCTCTAACGGTTCTGCTCGCGTGTTCTTTCCTACAGTCGCTTCGGCCAAGCAGTGTCTTGAACCAAGCCAACTCTGCCCCACCTGAAATACAAGTGGGCGTCCTTGGAGGTGGCACACACACCCATCTGCCGGATCGCAAAGAGCTCATAGCCCAAGCGCAGGGTGGCCATCGCGCACCTGAATAAATATATTTGTCTCGATACCAGCGACAACAACGGAAAGGAACGCCAACCGGGGCCCTGGCAAAGGTTCCCACAACTGGTTGGAGGTGGGTGTGGCTCAAAAATGGGGTCCAAAATAGAACCCAGATAAATGGAAAGGTAGACTAAAACCTGCGTAACCCCAGCTCAAAAAAAAATGACCCACACCCAGGTGGTTGCTAGTGTGACCTAAGTCTCTCCGAGTCTGGAGTGAACGCGAGGAATGTGGTGAGGTCTGTCTTCAACAAAAAGCAAAGCTGCTCAAACCTGGTTTGTTGCCTTGTGTCTGGGTGATCGCTCAGAAACAATCCGTTGCGCCCAGTAGGTCACAAACCCCGCCTGATTTGCGGTGTTGGTCCCTTCTTGGGACAAAAGCCGGGTGTCACACATGCGTGAGAGCATCCAAAATTTATTTTATATTTTTTCCGGAAGCCTTGGCACCTTTGGAGATGAATCCTATTGCCTGGCGCTCACCTAGGCACCTGCGTTGTGGATCATCCACCATGGGGACCTGCTGGTACCTCTCAGGAGCCGCTCAGCCGGGGCACGCGGTGATGGCATCTGGCCGATTCTCCGGCACACCCTGGAGGTAGTTGATGCCATAGGGCAGCGGCTGACCTGCGAAAATCGCTTCATTTGGGTGTCTTTGTTTTAGGCTTTCGTTTCCCTGGGAAAACAACCTCAACAAAAAGACACACCCTTGAGGGATCTCCCTGGAGGCCCTTGGGGTTCCATGTTCCGTGAAACCGTAGGAAGCGCTGCCTGTCATCTTCACGGGACCCCTGCAACTTTGGTTTCCCGCAAGGGTCCAAAGCATGGGGGGTTGTCAGTCCATGCAGCAAAGGGCACTGTTCCTTTGCCCGGGGGGAGAAAAAAGCAGAAACAAAATAGCATTCTCAGGCAGCTGGGCAATGAAAACTAAAACGTGCAGTACACCAGCCACAAGATATCCGAACCGCGTTTAAACCGAGGCATTCAGATTAAATCCCTGCCCAATCCATGCCAGCCTTCGATACTAGGGATCCAGGGCGACTCGATGTTCTCCCGCCAGCATCCCATGGAAACATATTCCAGCGATGGCCTTAGAGACTGAGAGTGAAAGCAACGACTCTCGACCCCGATGTTTACGGGTAGTTTCCTCAAAATGTGAAGGATTCCCTCTTAAATGGGACAACCTTTGCTAATCAAGCAGAAATTTGAAAATCCTGAATTCCCAAAAAGGAGCTTTGCGCAAGTCAGTGGGCTTAACGAGCTTTGGATCTGGCGCGGAGTTCCTGAATATCAATGGGTTTCGGGATCACGCATCTTCGACGAGCAGTTTCTTGCCTGTCAGGCATTGGCTAACCAACCAACCAACCAACCAACCAGCCAGCCAGCCAGCCAGCCAGCCAGCCAGCCAGCCAAGCAACCAGCCAACCAGCCAGCCAGCCCAGCCAGCCACCCAGCCACCCAGCCAACCAACCGCGACCGACCGACCAATCAACCCACCAACCCACCGGCCCACTGATCAACCCACCCACCTCACCAACCCACCACCAAGCAGCCCGCCAGCCTGCCATCCAGCCAGTCATCCAACAAAGCAAGACATCGCCCACCAACCCACCAAGCTACCTGCTGTTAGAACTCAAATGGGAAACGCAACCTTTCTGTGAGAATAAACAAGAAACAATTGCAGCCTTGCGGGTGCCTCAGACTGAAGTTGCGCATGACCCGCGAACATGATTACTCCTTATGGGAAAATTGTACTGTCCTCTGGTTTTTGTGGCAAATGTAGGCTGAACCCTTTCTCCGCAAACCAACAGTAGACCACCAACAACTTCGTCAATTTCTCATATTTTAGGTGTGACCAATCGCCACTCGCAGCCAGACTGCGTCATCAAGATCCGGTGATTCGCGGAGTCGCTGATGTACACCAGCCCTGCGTGTCTCAAGCGTCTCAAGTTGACCCAAGGAGAGAATGTCCCTCAGCGTGCTTCTTTGGCTATTTTTGCCGGGCCGGTGCACATGTGATGCGTTGTTCAGCCAAATTGGAGCAGTTTCCGGCCAAATGGCTGACGAGTGGCTCAATTGGGTTGGGTGTTTTGCCGGTCTGGTGTGGTGCTGATTTTGCGTGGGATCAGTTGAGGAGTTCGGGCGGTTTGGGACTTTCTTGAGAGGTAGCTTCGGGTCGGTTTAGGGTGGGTTTGGGGTTCGTTCAGTGGGATTTGAATCGGACGAAAAGCGACCAAAGCCGCAAAAGCCACAAAACAAAACACTGGAAAACTAGGCAAAAAAGACGAACGCATGGCCCTCCGGTGTCTTGCCCCCCTCACACTGACTAAAGTGAGATGGCTGCCGGGTGCTTGATGCTCGCCTGCGTCTGTGGCGACGGAGGAAGGCTCGTTCAGCTGCGTGTTGGGCGCCTCGAGGGGTGCCGCCTCCTGTGCAAAGGCGGCAGCTGGGATGAGAGTCTCGCACAGACAAGGTCATCCTTGAAGACAGCGTCGAAAACAACTGAGCACTTCCATGCGTTTTCCGGGGGACAAATATCAGAAAGCGTGCTGAGTCAGGCGTAAGCCGCTTGACATACCCTTGTTAAGCACACCATCACCAAGACAGCAATCGGCAGTGGAATAGTCTCGGACTAATGCATGCAGGTCCCAAAAAGTGGTCACAATCCTCCGACGGCATCTCAAGCTCCTTCTGCTCATGAGGCATCTCTCAAATGTGCAAGAGAACAAGAGAAGAAAAAAAAGAGCCACATACGTACATCTATATGCCATGGTATATAGGCACAAATTCCCCACAGCAAGAAACATACAACTTGGCCGATGAGTTTGCTTCCTGCGATGGGTTTGCTTCCGCCCCCCCACTCCTTGGTCTCGTTGCCCCGCTGCCCGGAACCCGCCAGCCTCAGCTCCCCAATTGGATCTGAAAGCCAAGGCTACGACGGAAAGCGACTGCGAGCTGGCAGAATGAGCGTTGCCACGCTCGGATATTTCATCGAAAAGAAAGCTTGGTTGCGGGTAGAGCAGAACATTGGCTGCTGGCTAGAAGCAGCTTGTCGACCCCCTCCCCTGCTCTCATACTCAACACAACTCCAGCGACAAAGTCGCCAAAACAATCCTCAGAAAGTCTTCTACTCGATCAGCCCTCCTAAATTCGAAAACCAAGCAAACGGTTTGGATTGGTGGTTTGGTGGCTAAGGATGGGTTTCCCTTCCCCCCCTCCACACGAACTTCAGGTTCAAATCCCCAAACTACCAATCCAAAGCACCAACCAGCAGGCAAAAAAAAACAAAGGCAAAAAACTCAGAGACGGTTTCAAGAGGTAGCCACGATACGTTTTGCGTGTTTGACTTTGTTTGTTGGTTGCTCTCGATGTGTGTTTTGTGTTATGGCTTTGGGCAGGGCTGATCCAGTGGACTCGTGTTTATTCCATGTAACCTCGAACTTTCTATGTTGGCAAGCCAGGTTATCAATTCTAACCCCATTCTGAAATCAAGATAGAAGTTCGAATAGGAATGTCCTTATTCCTATTGAAATCCTATTCTAATTTGCTTCTGGCCATTGGTGAAGATGTGAATTGAGTACGCCAAAAGCTACATCACACTGGTTTATAGTGTGGTTTCTGACCATGGTAGTGCTGGAGGCTAGGTAAAAGCGTGCTTCTTGGACCGCTGAAGCCTTTCCTTATGTTATACTCAATATCTTTGTCAAGATCTACTCAATTTCGAAGTGAACTTTCATATCATGTCATAAGGAAATTATCCTATCATACTATCAATGTTAAACTAAACTTTTTCATAAGAAATATCCTAGTTCAAAAAGAGCAAAGGATTGAGAAGAAGTTCCTATTCAATAGATTGTTTTTTTCAATTCAGTAGAAATGGAACGCAATGCATTCAAAAAGAGCTTAACACAAGCAAAGCAAGTACAGACTTGATGCACAAGGTCCTCAGGACTCAAAACTCAAGCAATATCAACAGAACAGAACGAGCACACTGGCATCACCAGCAAGCATCCCTGGCATCACTAGCCAGCATCTCCAGCAATACCAGCATCACACAGAAAATGCAGGGGAGGCAGGATGCATCCCTGCATCATCTGCACAGGCGCTTGCAAGTAGAAATCTGCTACAATCAGACGATTGGTGCAGAAAAATGCTCTGCAAATGTTACTCTTTCTATTCTGACCCATCGACCTAAAGGTCGCTCTCAAACCTGAAATCAGAAATGGATCCCAAAATTTGGGACACACATCATGGTGAGCTCGTTTTACCCCCGGTCGGTGAGCTCGCAAAAAAAATAGAGCCTGGTTTGAAGGTAACTTTGCAGGTTGCTTTTTTCGGGGAAACCAAAAGGAACCACCTTTTCATGTCAAACAATGCCATCCGATTTTGATATGTCAGGCTTTCATCAGGCTAGTCCCATGCTCTCGCCATGAGGCGTATTGATCACGCCCAGGTAGCTCTCGAACTCCAGCGTCATAGCCCGCACCTGGATGTGTCCGCCCCTTCGGGCTTGGCTCGCTGAAAAGAACAGCCAACGTGCCAAAAGAACTTGCCTGACGCATTGGCACCAGAACGAGCGGGTAGATCTTCATCACCAGTCATTTAGGTCAAACCACCGGCAAATGGCTTGCCTGAGCCTTCTGATCCTTGTGTGGGGCTCTTCGTTTCAGCCCAGCCTGCATGCCTGCCGCCTCAGTGATGTAGACGTTCACCGGCAGTGTGCCATCCTGCCAGCTAGGCTCCGAAATGCACGATCTACGGAGCCGTTGAGGGTGGGTCATTCAATACAAATCCTGCGATGGGGTCTGGCGACTCTGGGTGTTTCACTTCAGCCAGTGCCAAGCTCAATGAGGCTTACATGACAGGGAGAGCCAAAAAATGGCCATGGGTCAAAATCCCGTACCCCCAGTGAACATCCCAATCCCCACTAAAATAGGTTCTAAAATGGGTGGTGAATTCACCTACCAACCAAAATGGGATGCCATTGGTTTTGCCCCACAGCCAAATGAGCAACGTAGGCCTCAAGGACCATGCGAATCGATGGATCCATTGAGCTTCCGAAAGCCCAGGTGGCCTCGTTGCTCACGAACGCCGAGGACACGGCGACGCCCCAGGGTGCCTGGCTCAAAGGGATTGCCATCATAGGTGTCCTTTTGGTAAAATAGATGGCCCTGGTAAATGATAAAACCGAGTTAAACCAGTGCCATCTATTTCTAATCTAACTAACCTAAAAAGGACACCCATTGCCATGTCAGATGGTGGGGGGAGTTGGGCGACTTCCTCGACTTGCTGCTCAGCAGGGAATGTGGGAATGATCCGTAAAAACCATCCAACTGATGGTTTCCTTTCAGAAGAACCCTCGGTTCATTCCCTCATTCCCTACTCAGCAGCAGCAAGTCAAGCGGCCGAAGAGGAAACCAAGCATCGAGATAGGCGAAATGTTCCCCAACTAAAACATGCCCTTGGCTTGTTCCGGTCATGTGAATGTCACTGAAACGCATAAAGCCAGTTGCGCATGTTGGGAAACACCCCAAAAAGAGGCTGGGCAAACGGGAACCAAAGGCAAACCATGACCACTTTGGTCTTTCCTCTATGATAGTTTCCACTGTGGCACCCACTCAAAGGAAAACCGCGCTTCGTGACGCAAGGGGTCCCAAGCAACCACCTCTCCCTCAGTCGGCCTGCAGCCGCGCGAGCCAGGCCACGCCACCGTCGCCCTTGTCGCTCTGCTGGCCCATGCCCCCGCCTGCGGGGGGATCGATCCCCTTCGTTTGTGCATGGCAGTCCAAAGACGTGACGCTGCGATAGGTAGGGAATGAGAAATGGAATGAACCTGGGGATTCCCAACAAAAAGGAAACCATAGGTTGGATGGTTTGTATGGGACATTCCCTCATTCCCTGCTGAGCACAAGGAAGAAGAGGTATGCCAACACTCTTATCTGAGTACCTCCCTCAGCTCAGCCATGGGCTGCCAGTCCCGAGGCACCCCACTTGGAATCCTTCAGAAGATATGGTCTGCGACTCAGCATGGGCAAGTGCCCATCGTCCCCCCCAACTCGGCGAGTTCTTTTCGAAAGTATAGGTCAGCTGTGCTGAAGGTTGCAAACAGGTTGATTGCAAACAAACCAAAATGCTCAAAGTTGGCCCAGGCTAGTCCGCTTGGCAAGCGCGCTGAGAACTGAGAATGTGCAGCCAGGTCAGGATGGAGTAGTCTTTCAGTGTTGAAGATGTGACCCCACAATATGTTCCTTTACTTGAAATGAATACAAATAAATGTAGCTATCGATCCAGACTCCAAACAAATCGGGCTGCATTGCACTCAACACACAGCCTGCTGCTATTTTCCACAGAACCTCCAGGTTTTGCAGGGGACATGATGAAATGTCATGCGGTCACAAGTACCTTCCAACACTGGCCTGGTCGCAATCCACACCGTCCTGCCAACAAGGTGAGGGGTGTTGAGAGGAAAATCAAAACATGTTCTCGCTTTAGTGCCATACTTTTTTGGCTTGCTCTTGAGCATGCTTCCCACGTATGCACTCCGTTTGTGTTTCATGATCACCCCGGACCCACGGGGGTCTCCCACAGCCTGCAGCAGAGAGGATGATGTTGGCCTGGAACTCGTTGGTGCCTGCGCAAGTGGGTCCCCTCACCCACGAGCCAAAGCACCCTCTGCATGGCAGACTGCCCGCGCCCCTTTTTGGGAGACCTCGTAACTTCGACGCCCGGCACTGGACATGTAAAAGAGAAACTCTCGGATCCGAGTGTGCAATCCGAATGCACCGTGGACCGGCCGCTGGGTCTCCTGCGCTGATATATGAGTATATATATATATATATATATACATATACATGTTAAATATATCATTATATTTATATGTATATATACTTACATATGTGATGTGTCTTCTTTTGGTTTCCAATTAAAGCCCGCCCAAAAAGGGTACGGGCAAAACCAAACACACCCATGTCCATTCTCAAAGGCTACCTCACACCACGGGGAAGTGGCCTGACTCAGAGATATCTTTCCGGGCCATCAAGGCTTTAGCCTCAACCACTCCACGGATCAGCCCTCCTGTCAAAACTCAGGAAACCCCTGGTGAACATCAAAATAGGTGGTACATGGGTGTTCATCCACCTCAAAATGGAGGCCTTGGCCAAATGGATTGTGGCTCCAGGAGGTGACTTTTTTTGGGGTAGTGTGAGGTGCAGACACTGGCCGATGCCTGGAATGCGCACTGGGATCTCCATGGACACCACGCGCAGCACGTTGTTCCCGCTGTCGCCTTAGTATAATGTCTTGAGGAGCCACAAGCTGCCGGGCAAGTTCCTCAATGTGTTCGTTAAATCACACCCTCTCCCAAGTCTGGTGAAACCAAGAAGTGCAACAACCCATGCTGCCCGTTGTCCGAATTGAATCTCGCCTTTCGAGCAACTCAGTTGCCCGGTTTGGATCCAGAAATGAAAGAGGTGATCACCTTTTGGGGCCACTAAAGATCGTTGCCAAACAGGAAAAGCCACCAAAAATCGTTGCTCATTTGAGGTCGATTCTCTTAAGACAAATCGTCTGCTTTCCAATGTCTGGCCCAAACGCACAAGTCATGCCAAACCAAGGGTTGGCATTCCACTCTCCGCGTTCCGCGTTGTCCCATGGCCGAGGGGCAAATCCACAACATCTGATTCCTCGGCGCCGGTGTGAACGCCAAATTTGGAGCCGGTGGAATCGGTGTGCTAGGGCAGAGCTTGAATCGAATCCCTTGACCCACCGCAAGATGTAAAGCCCTTCAGAGTGTTCGGTCCTTCATCTCGGGAGCAGCCTGCCGGACAATTTCTCACTTCACTGGTCAGCTCACTGTTCACTGACATCCCAAGCTAGTTCCTTCTAAACCGAATTGAGTTAGTTGCACTAGACGTACAATTCTACAATATTAGACTTGTTTGCACTCCCTCAATGCCTGATGCTTGAACCGAGCGATGGTTGCTCCAACCAGCATTGCCCACCGCCTCTTCAAGGCCGCAGATCCAAACACCGGGCCGGCCACTTCGAATTTCTTCCGGCAAGGCTCAATTACTTTTGGCTTCGGCTCAGCCACCCACACCAGCCCAACCCCCATACCCCCAAAAAACAAAAAGGCTTCAACGACTTTTGGCTGCCACCCGCCCCAAAAGCTTCGCCCTCCGGCTGAGGCGCAGGTCGACTGCCACTCCGGTGGGCCCATTCAGCTGCGCCTCCCGCGCCGGGCCACCGTCCCCGGAGTAGCCGCGGTACCCGTTGCCCGCCACCGTCTCGATGATGCCTCGGAGGTTTCGCGCTATGCGGCGGGAGCGGAGCGGTTTTGGCGGAGGTTGCGCGGAAGTCAGGGAGCAGGGAGCGGAGGGCTGGAAAAGGGAAACCTGGCCGAATCAATGGGTGTGGCAAAGAGGTGCAAGAGGCAGGGGTACTGACAGAATCAGAAGGACGCATGGCTGTGGCTCAAACAAGGTACCTGACTTTCTCTGCCACTTGCCTTTGGAGCGCTGTTGTCCAGGTCTTTGGCTCATGCTCACGAATGGCGCGTTTGGTCTCGGCATCCCAAGCCTACATTGGAGGTTGCCGGAGAGAAGGACCGATGGCAGGTTTGCACAATCAGTTTCTTGGTTCACCAAAACACGCCCTCCGCCCCTCCCCCCCCACCCCCCCCCATCGGAGACAAAAGGCGACCAAATGAGAATCAAATCCCAAGGTGGCCGCACCCAAACTTTTGAGAAGAGACTTTGTTGCTGCAAGTGAACTTGGACTGGCTGCAGGGCCACGGTTCCTCCAAGGAACCTCAAAACCTGCTTTTTCCGTCATCAAGTGGCCACTGGGCGATTTCCAAATCGGATTCAACCAAAAATGTTCTTCCTAGAGGCTGCCACCCGGTGTCCCTTCGACCCAAAGCCGCTCAGGAGGCCCCTTCACACTTCAGTGACGCGGCACCGGTGTTCAGGGGCGTCTTCGTGAGGTCGATGCGCCGCACGCGGTCGCTCCCAAAGTCTGCGATGTAGAGATACCTTGCAGCTGACGGGAGACTGCGCAAGCGAAAAAAGCAAATACAGGATATCTTGGAGAATGGGGACCTCAACTTACCCCATCCATTTATCCATCCATTTAAATAGTTGGCCTTGGCAATGGCATGCTGTTCTTCCCAGTCCAGGTTGCTTGTGGTCCTTGTCCAGGGCCAAGCCCATAGGCGTGGACAGCTCCGCATCGTACGCGGGCTGGTAGTCCCCTGGCAAAAAAAAAAAAAACGACGAAAGACTGGACCTCCTCTGATGCAAACGAAAGCCCCAGAAAGAGAGCATATAAAACTGGTCGCTCGGTCATCCAAGGCAATGTCAGGTGACAGACCAAATTGCAAACATCTGTCACCAACATTGCACCTTGGTCACTTCACTAAGCAAAAACAAAAATCCTTAAGCCACAAGAATGTGAGGAACAGAACCCTCGAAGATTTGCAATAGGCGCTGGGATTTGCGTTGCTACCCGCTGCTCCTTGCGAGAAATCAAAAATAGATATATATATATATATATGCCCATTTGCTCATTTGCTCGAGCCCAAAGCGGGCCAGCACACGAGCTTGGTCGGGACAATGCGCATGTCTGACGCCCAAGGCAGGCGCCACGCTTGAAAAAGATGGGTGCGGCAAGCCCCGGTTTCCCCCAGGTGTCTCCTTGAAATGCCTTGAAATGACACAAATAAGACGACACCTCCGAGAAAAAACGGAACCTCCAACATTCTCTGGGTTTCCTGTTGGCCCCAGCTCGAGTCCGCCTCGGATGCCCGGGAAGAACTTCCCGGAGAGCCTGTAGACTCGGCCTTGGCACGGGCCCAAGTGGCAAATGGAGCCAAACGCGGCACACCGTGGTAAATGGAGCCAAAGCCAGCCGTTTGTTCTAGGTACCTCGGTAGCTCAGGCGTCAACATCATCGGAGGATTTCTCTGGTCCAGCCCTGAAAGCACCGAACCAGTTGGCCCCCTGGGCAGCCCGTTTCGCCCCTTCCGAAGCCGAAAAGCCGCTGTTCGACTCCGAAACCGCGCCGTTCCCCGCCTTCCTCCGTGTCCAGCCATCGGATCATGTGGGTCCCCGTCTCGCTAAAGAACACTCGCCCGGTGGAAGCCGCCACTCCTCGGGCGGGCGCAGTCGTCTCTCAAGTCGCCTTACCAGAGATGCTAGGCATAGGTGTGGCCTTTTGAAACTTTTGGAAAAATCGATGGGTTTCCCTGGAAAATGGAAATAACCGTCTAAACCAGGAATCGCCCTCTACCTTTTAAGCAAACCAACCAAAAAGGACACCTATGATGCTAGGTGCACTGTTTTGTTGGAAAGATGAACCAGCATGCATGCTGCGCAATAGACTGGCGTATCAATGATACACCCTGGCAAAAAGTGAAAGACGATTTGGCGTCTTGCTTGAACCTGAACGTGTTCGCTTGGCAGGAGTTGTTATGCACGCCGCTGCTGAAATTGCATGCCAGGTCTTGAAAACGCACCACTGGAAAGCACAATTGCTTGATCCATAGCTCCAGCCAAGTAACGAATGGAATTCGCTGCTAAACGCTGTGGGGCCGTATGCCGTTTGACGATCCCAAAAAAGCCACGCTTTCCTTTGCATACTCACCTTCATTTGCGAACCCGAAGGACATTGCTTGAAACTGCTGCACATGTTTGAAGGGAGCAGCTAAGCAATCTTGTAAGCAGGTGTCTGAAGCGAGCAGTCAATCCCCAGCGATTCGAGTCCTTTACCAATCTCGTAAATGCATTGACAAGGATTCCAGCATCAAACCAAGCAAAGAAGAGTGACTGCATTAGCAATCCAAAGGCTGCGTGGAAGCGACCTATCCCCTGAGATGTTTGCCATAGCATTCGAATGTTTGACAGACACAATGGATGAGCAAGCCGGCGAAGCTTCCGATCATCCGAAAGCAACGACTGTCACAAGGCCAAGGTGTTGGCTACAAAATTGTCCATGTTCTGTGCGTGTGTGTGTGTGTGTGCCTGTGTTTTCG